TCTTCTTGCCCTTCCGCCGTTTCCGATCGGCTCTTGAAGCCCCGAGCTGATTCCAAGATGGCCCGCGCGAGGCAGACGCCGTTCGCGCGCCAATGGGGAATCTACGTCGTTCGCCTCGTCGACGTTTCGCTTCTGATCGGTTCGCGGCGGCTCTTGCAGTCGATTGCAGTCGACGCCGTCGAGGCCTAGCTTCTTGATCACCCCGCTCAGCATCTGCACCTCGATGGACTCGACGGCTGCGAAGACTTCGCTTGGCGAGCCCGCGCTGCCGGGCACCTCCGCGACGCCTGACTGCTGCGCCGCCCGCCTGCCCCGCTTCGCGCGCCCGGCCTCCTTCTTCCCGAACTCTCCGCTCCACTCGAGGATGCCGATCTCCGCGCCGACCTCATCGACGTCGATCTCCCGGCCGTCCTTCACCTCGCAGTTCACAGAAGGCGCGACCACAGGATGTGGCCAATTCCTGCGGTCGGCAGGCTGCTGGCCTCCGACGTGCGCCGCCGTGGAGTCCTTGACTATGGCCTGGCAGTTCCCGCCCACCTTGACTATGGCCTTGCAGTTCCCGACCACGTCCTCGCCCTCGCCGATGGGCAAGACGCCTTCCTTGGATATGCCGACGCCCCTGCCGCGCACCTGCACGCGCTCGTCCTCGCCCACGTACTCGCCGAAGCTAGGGGGGAAACAAACCTACCTCGCTTTTGACCACCCTCGCTTTCAAGAGATACCAAGCGAGGCCAAACTACGGCCTGTACCGGTCAGGCCGCTTGACAAGGAGGCGCGTGGTATGACTTGGTTTTGCCTGGAAGCGAAAGCGGGGTAGGTAATTCGCGCTCTGAGAAGCCCACGAACTCGACCTGCTCCTTGGCACTGCCGGCGACGCCGTGGGCGAGGCAGGTGGTGTCGCCGCTCTCCTGGGCCGGCGCGGCCGTCGCAGTGCCCGCGCCCCCCCAGGGGTTCGGCGCCTGGGTCCTTCCGCGCGCCCTGACCTTGATCCCCCTCTCGCGGCCACGACCTCAGGGCACGCAGGTGCTGTCGATGCCCGCTTCGTCCAGCGCGCCAAACCTGCATCGGGCCGCGCGAAAGGGGGGGATAGCAAAGGGGGGGGGTTGAGCACCCCCTGACCTTGACCCCCCCTCGCGGTCAGGACCCTAATGAACCCCGGAAACGGCAGGGCCGTTTTTTCGCCGTTTTCGAAAAACGGCCCCTTGAAAGTGGAAGCGGCAAAAAGACGGAGACCGGAAACGGCAAAAGAACGGCTCCAGAAGTAGAACCGGGGCCGGAACCGGTCAAACAACGGCGACGGAACCGGTAAAAAAACGGCGTCGGAACCGGCAAAAAAACGGCAAAACGGAACCGCTAACAAAAACAGCCCTGTCGTTTCCAGGGCCCACCGAGGTCAGGACCTCTGGGCACGCAGGTGTTGTCGATGCCCGTTTCGTCCAGCACGCCGAACCTGTAGGACGCAGCCACCGCATACAGTCGGGGCCCTGAAGAAGGAACCCTTTTCGTTGGGGAGAGGCCCCGTGCTCCTTAATTGTTTCGCAGCTTGCCTTGGATTTGCCTGAGGTTTTCGATACGAAATCGAAGGTTCAACTTCTGGAAAAGAGGGGCCCCGTTCCCTATTTAGGGTTCTTTAGGTCAACGCCCCGACTGTACTCCAACAGGGCCACCTTCTCGTCGTCGGCGCCGTGCTCCCGACCAGCCAGCCAACGGTCGAGGCCATCCTCGCTCACGCTGCCGTCACTGCTGGAGGTGCCCTCGGTGTCGAGCCGAGCCACCTTCGAACCCAGCGCCTCTACCCCGCCAGCGGCGGACTGCGACGCAGATCCTTTGGTGGGTATTCGCCCTCCTGCTTGAGCTTGCCGGAGGCCTTCTTTCGTTTCTTCTCCTTCTTCACCTTTCTTTCCTTCTTCACACGGAACTCGCCCAAGGAGGCCCGCTCCTCCGGCAGCGCCCACTTCTCCAGGCGGAGCTCCCTCTTCTCCTCGTTGAGCCTGCTTTCGCGCTCTTGCTCCTCCCGCTTCCGTGCACGCCCGCTCGAAGGCCGCGCGCGCGGGACGGCGGCGCGGCCCGCGCGCCAGGCGGCGGGGAAGGCGGCGACGGCGGCAGCCCGCCCTCGATCGCCTGCAGTTACGTCACCTGCGGGGCCATGGTAGGCCTCCTCCTTCCTCCTCCTCCTCCCCCTCCCCTTCCTTCCTCCTCCTCCTCCTCCTCCTCCTCCCTCCCTCCCTCCCTCCCTCCCTCCCTCCCTCCATCCCTCCTTCCCTCCCTCCCTCCTCCCTCCCTCCCTCGCCTCGCCATCGCGGCCGGCGGAGGCGGCTGCCACTGGCTGGGCGGGCGGGTCGGCGAGCGCACCAGGCGGGCACCCATCGCCTCCTTCACTGCCGCCCCGACCGCCGCCCAAACCGCCTCCACCGCGGCCCCTGTCTCGGGCGCGCCGCCGGGCCCGGCCGCGGCGCAACGCGGCCCTGGAGCCGCCACTGGCGCTTGGCGCCGGCGCCGCGGCCTGCGCTTCTGGCGGGTCCCGCCCTGGCATGCGCCGTCCGGCCACGTGCTCTCCTGCTCGAGCCGGCCACTGGCAGCGGCGAGGCTCCGAAGTGCACTGCCAGAAGCGAGAGCCGCCCCTCGAAGGCGCGCCGATCGCGCGCGCGAGCCGCAGACGAAGGAGGAGGACCAGGAGGGGGAGGAGAAGAGAAGAGAAGAGAAGAGAAAGAGAAAGAGAAAGAGAAGAGACATATAAGAGAAATACTCAGAAGAGAAGAGAAGATAAAGAAAGATAAGATAATCTACTATAATATAACATAAGAGAAGAGAGAAGAGACGATCAGATAAGGGAATCTCATATAAAGAGAAGGATAAGGAGAAGGAGATGAGAAGAGACAGAGAGGAGAAGATAAGCGAAGAGAAGAGACACATAAGAGAAGAGAAGAGAAGGAGAAGAGACAGAGACAGAGAAGAGACGAACAGAGCGGGCCGACAGCCCCGGCGGGGCCTGCGGCTGGACCGCGGCCTCCGCCGGGAAGCCGACCTGCTGAGACCCCGGCGAGGAGACGGGGGCCACCTTCGGGCGCGCCCCGGCGGGCGCCCACGCCGGCTGCGCGGGGTCCCCGGGGGTGTGTGCTGCTGATCGGGGGGGGGTCTGGTGGCAGGGGGGGTCGCCTCCTCCTCCTCCTCCTCCTCCTCCTCCTCCTCCTCCTCCTCCTCCTCCTCCCCGTCCTCCTCCTCCTCCTCCTCCTCCTCCTCCTCCTCCTCCTCTTCCTCCTCCTCCTCCTCCTCCTCCTCCTCTGAGACGAAGCCAGGACGAGGATACAGTCGGGTGAGTGCACGTCGAGAGTCTCTGAGATCCAGTGGCCCTGGAGGATGTCTCGGGCGCCGCGGCCTTCTCAGAGGGTGCTGGAGTGCTTTGAGAGCGTCCCCGAACGCTCTGGAACGGATTTGTCCTCGTCCCAGCCCCGCCCGAGGACAGGAGGAGAACAAGACCCCTGGAGATCGGGGCACTGAGATTGTTTCCGACTGTGCGTGTGCGCCAGGTTCCAGGCGCCAGGAGAAACACGGATCGATGTGGCTCGAACATGCAGCAGGAAGGTGGGTCTAGGTTGTTCCCAGGCAGAGGGGGTGTTTCGCCATGGGCGCATGGCGCGCTGCAGCCACGTGCTGATACTATACGACTGGCGCATTCCGCACGAACGATTGCGCGAACTATTGCGCACATGTTTGAGACTCCCTTTGCGAAGGACCCATTCGCCCGAATCCGACTAGGACTGCGGCCGCGATTTTTTCTCGATGGGGAATCTTGGGGAATCCTGGGGATGTTGAGAAGCTTTGGAATATTGGGAAACTTTTTCGCGATGTTGCATTTTGCCACAAAGTCGGATGATCTTGGGAAATCTTCGGGCCTCCGATCCAAAGGGGGAACGGTGGAGGCAGCATGCAGCCGGCGGCCCAAAGGCCGGCACACCAGCTGCCTGCCCACTGGAATACCAGGAACAGGGGGGAGGGAGGAGGAGAGGAGGAGGAGGAGGAGGAGGGAGGAGGAGGAGGAGGAGGAAGAGGAAGAGGAGGAGGAGGAGGAGGAGGAGGAGGAGGAGGAGGAGGGAGGAGGAGGAGGAGGAGGAGGATGGGGGGGATGGGGAGGAAGAGGAGGGGGAGGAGGGGGGAGGAGAGGAGGGGGAGGAGGGGGATGAGGAGGAGGAGGAGGAGGCGGAGGAGGAGGAGGAGGAGGGAAGGGAAAGGATGTCAATGCAGAACAAGCACACCACACACACACGTTTTTTGTGTTTGGTTGTTGATTGTTGTGTGGAGGAGGAGGAGGAGGAGGGGAGGAGGACGAGGAAGAGAAGGGGGAGGAGGAGGGGGAGGAGGAGGAGAGGGAAGAGGAGGAGGAGGAGAAAGAGAAGGGGAAGGGGGAGGGGAAAGACGAGGAGGGAGGCTCGCCTCTTGGCAGCTCGAGGCCTCTGGCCCTGGAGCTCCAGATCGCCGCATCGGGACATCCGGGAAGCTCTCGGGGCTTCCCCGATCCCCATCCCCGTCCCCATCTCTTTCTCCTCCTCCTTCTCCTCCCTCTCCTCCTCCTCCCCCTCCACACAACAATCAACAAACAGACACAACAAAAAACGTGTGTGTGTGTGTGGTGTGCTTGTTCTGCATTGACATCCTTTCCCTTCCCCTCCTCCTCCTCCTCCTCCTCCTCTTCCTCCGCTCCTCCCCCTCGCGAGAGCATGGGAGAGCCCTCGCGACACCCGTCGTGCTCTGGGGGATTCCTCAAGATCGCAGGGGCCTTCACTGACACACGCCGACAGGATTCGCTCTCCGTCGCATGATCGGAGGGACCCCCCCAACGCTCCACCACCCCCGATGGACCACCGCCATCGCTAGGGAGTAGGAGGAGGAGGAAAAGGAGGAGGAGGGGGAGGAAGAGGAGGGGGAGGGAGGAAGAGGAGGGGGAGGGAGGAAGAGGAGGGGGAGTAGCAGGAGGAGGAGGAGGCCTATGGAAAACTAGCACACCACACGCACACACACACACGTTTTTTGTTTGTGTATTGTTTTTTGTGTGTGCTTGTGTGTGTTCTCCCACGTGCGTTCTCATACCGAAGTATGGTTTTGTTTCCACCGTGCATGTTGTCTTCCTCAAATGGGCGCGGCGCAGGTCTTCGACACGATCGTTTTCCGGCGTGGGCCTGCTGCGCCATCGCTGCTCGCATCGCGCTCGGGCCGACAACGGGGGGGGTCCTCCTCCGTGCCCCCGCACCCGCGCATGCTCGTGCTCGTGACCGCGGCTCCCGCTGCTGCCCCTGCTGCTGCGGAGGTCGAGTTCCCACCACCAGTACATTGGGTAGGGGAGGGAGAAGGAGGAGGAGAAGGAAAAGGAGGAGGAGGAGGAGCAGGAGGAGGAGGAAGACCTCCCCATCCTCCCTTCTCCCCCATTCGACCTGTGGTAGCGAAGAAAGAAGAGAGAAAAAAGAAAGAAAGAAAGAAAGAAGCGCTGTGCACGTCAGAGGTGCGTTGGCAAACAAGTGAAACAGCAAGTTCCGCTACCGGAGGCGCGGCTGCGAAACCAGTGCAAAAACCGACAGCGACGACAGCGGCAGCGACGGCGGCCCGAAGAATATGACGTGGTAGTGGTGGTGGAAAATTGGCCCATCATAATGCTGCTGAAATTCTTCGTCGTCCGTCTCAAAACCTCCTCGTCGTCCTCCTCGTCCACGTCATCGTCGACGTCCACGTGCGCGTTTCTCTTCGTCCTCAGTTCTTCCGCGCAAGTGTCGGTCTGTCCTGCTGCATGCTTTACCTCGGAAACTGGAACATATACATTACCAGTGGCGGATTTTGTTTCGATCCCAAGACTTTTTGAGGGTCGGGGACGACGTCGGGGTGGTGTGGTGTATACTTCTCCTCCGCTTTCCAAAAGAACAAACGAAAAATGTATACACCAGGATCCCGTATACACCAGGATCTGCGTTCCTGTGCGAATTTCAGCGCAGGGTTGGAAAAAGCGTCGGTGTGTAGAGCTCGTTTCCCTATTACCCGCGATTCCACTCGCAGGGCCTGACGTAGATGCGGCTTACACGGAGCTGTCGTCCTTGCTTCTTTGTTTCGGACAAGCACGAGCGAAAACCAACTAGATCAAACTCGTGCGAATTCGCGCCACGTGCGCTACGTCCAAACATAAACGGCAACATGGTGCAGGCCTGTGGGATTATGTCTCGAGTCCCTCCTTTGAACTCGCGAAGGTTTCCTTACTCGGCGTTTCGACATTGGGCGGAAGGGGGGGGGGAGGGGGGGTCTTGGCTCCAGACCTCTGCTTAGTGCGACTGTTTGCAGCAGTGCGTCCTGTGGGGGACGCTCCGCCTGCTCGAAACAGGCGCCCAAAACAGCCAAGATCTACTCCATTGGAAGGGGGGGTTGGTGCGAGGGCCCGCGCCGATCGGCAAAACAAGGAATAAGAAACCGGTCACCTCCCAGGGTGTGAAGATGCGGGGTCGGTGGGGGGCGGAGACGACCCAAGGTCCGGGGGTGTGGAGTGGAGGAGCCCAGACATGCGACGTCCCGATTTCCTCTATGCGCGGTTTCCCGAAGTCCCGACCCCTTCCCCGGGACTCGTGCTTCAGCCCAAGCCGTGGTCTGACGGTCCCCAGGCCTGGTCAGGGCGCCTTGAGGCCAGCAACGGCCAAGGATTGCCCGTCCTGTTTTTGCGCGTCACGACGCGAGCATGTCTGGGAGGGGGTGGTAATCGGGGGTGCTCGAACTCTTGGACTCCACCCAACGCGCTGTCGAGCAGGTGGACGTTTTCTTAGTCGGCGTTTTGACACTGGGCGGAAAAGGGGGGCGGAAGGAGGGGGGTCCTGGCGCGGGACCTCTGCTGCAGGCGACTGTTCAGAGCCGTGCGCCCCATGGGGGAGGATCCACCTGGTTGAAACAGGCGCCCAAAACAACCAAGATCTTCAGTCGGGGCGTTGACCTAAGGAACCCTAAATAAGGAACGAGGCCCCTTCTGTCCATGGGTTAAACTTCGATTTCCCGTCGAAAACATAATGAAAACCTGAGGCAAGCTGCGAAACAATCAGGGAACACCGAGCCCCTCCCCAACGGAAAAGGGTTCCTTCTTCAGCGCCTCGACTGTACTCCATGGGGGGGGGAGGGGGTGCGAGGGCCCGCGCCGATCGGCAAAACAAGGAATAAGACAACGCTCACCAGTGTTTTCAGGGACAGGCCCCACGTTGACTGCACACTTTGCTGGCAGGCACTCCTACCCTTGTGGCCACAAGGGCAGTCCACATGGGGGCTCAGGTAGGCGCACAAGTAAATAGAAACAAATCCCAGGATTGCCCATATTTGACAATGTTTCCTGGATGTTCGTCGTCCCCTCCACTTCCCATATGTTCCATACCTTCCTGGGCATCAACAATGATTAGAGCCTGTGTGGCTGTTCCCCTCCAGACTGTTGCCTTGACGGCCCCAAGGGCTATCCCCATCTCGTGCCGTGCTGAGCCAGGCAGGCTTCCGTCGGGTAGAATCGCGCACTCGGACCAGATCGGAAGAATAGGGGGCCACATGCGAACCCTTCCCCACCACCACACGAGTTCTACGGGGTGGGGTGGGGTAAGGTTTGCATGTGGCCTCCTGAAGTAGATAGGATCGCCAGCGAATCGTCCCGAATCGGATCGAAATCGTCCCGATTGCTGCGCCCGATTCCTGCGCATGGTGGTCCATTCGTGTCGGCCGCGCGCACAGCCCTCAGGAGGCAAACACGGACGGGGGGCAAGAAGAGTATCGGGCAACCAAGCCGAAGGCCTGATGGCACCAACCCGCCAACGATGTCAGGCACAGACTGTTCTTGTAAAGGCCTCCTAGAGGGGGTCCGAGTAGGTGGGGTCGGAGGATCGCGCCGCATCGCCGATGCATCTGCGATGCATCGGCGATGCATCGGCGATGCATCGGTGACGTCGGCGATGCATCGGCGACGCCAGCGTGGAGAACATCTGGCTCCACATCGGGCCGCATCGCCGATACATCGACGATGCGGTGCGATCCTCCGATCCTATCTACTCCGGCACCATCAAGGAGTGCTAGAGTTCTTTTGGGGGGGGGGGGCGCCTTGGCACATTGTCTCGCGCACACCGTCGGCAGGAGCACATTGTCCGGCAGAGTTCATTCATGCATTGCTGCCTCGGTCGACAGCCGAGGAGAGCGATGACGAAGATCAGCACGAATACTCGTGGAGCCAGAGCTGGGCATGCCCTCCTAGTTGGAGGATCCAGCAACCCGGAAAGCCCTGCATGGGCGATTGAACAAGCTTAAGAATCCACTCTTCTGGTCGTTCTCGCGCTGCCGCCTCTTTGGACAGCCAGCGGACCCGCTCCCCCTGGCGGTGGCAAGACTCGGACGATGACGACGACGAAGACGAGGAGGACACGAGAGCAGAGGGGTGAACGAACGACAAGACGACAGGGGAGAGGAAGGAGAGGACGACAATAATCAACGCGAGCGACAGCACGAGGACAGCGAGGAACGCAACCAGCGGCGGCAGGAGGAGGGGCAGCGGGAGCAGAAGGGGAAACCAATAACGAGAAGGCCAAGACGAACAAACAATCGAAGAAGCTGGTGATGATACTGCCTGGTTGGAGCGTGTGCGAAATCGAAGCCCTCAGCGTGAGCGGAGATGGGCGTGCGCACGGATACGGGCACGGATGCCTGTGCCAGCGCGGCTTGAGACCGAGCCTGGGTGCGCATACGAACGCGGGTGCGAACCGACATGAGCGCGGGTGCGAGTGCGAGTGGGTGACGCAGCCCAATGCAACGTCAACGTTTTCCGTTTCAACATTGATGGGCGTGTTTTCCGCCACCACCACCATAAGTTGGAGGGGGGGTCCTCCTCCTCCTCCTCCTCCTCCTCCTCCTCCTCCTCTTCGTCCTCCTCCTCCTCGCCGTCGCTCTCGCCTCGGCGCCGCGCCTCATTCTCCAGGTGCTCGAAGACCCGCTGTGGCGCGGCGTACGCTTTCCGCTCGCCCATCCGTCGACGCGCGCGCGCGGGCGAACATGTCGCTTTCCCCCCCCCCCCCGTCGCTCGGACGTCCATTCCCTGTGCTTTGTTCGGCTTCCTGCGTGGTTGTTTTCGCAGGATGGATCCAGGATGCTTCTTGATAATCCCCGCCGCTCAAGAGTGCACACGTCCGAGCGATACCAGGCCCCCGTGGCGCGGCGCAGATATCTGTCACCTGCCAAGTCTTATCGGGCATGGGCAAACCCCACTTCAGCAGAACGTGGTTTCGTGAAAACGACCTGAGGCCCAAACCTGGCGGGCGCGAGCCTGGAAAATAACGGCCACGTCGCCCTCCCCAGACCCCCGACGTAATGATTTTTTCATTACGTCGACCCCAGGGGTCCCGACCCTTTCCCCAGGACCGGCTTTGCATCCTGAATCGTTTGTTGACGCTCCCGAAGCCCGGTGAGGGCCTCCGGAGGCCGAAACTGAAGGAAAACCTTCCGTCATGATTTTTTTGGTTACTCGAGGGGGTCTGGGCCTCGAGAACCGACAACGGACAATGCACCAATCGACGTGTCACTGTTGGGGGCTCTGTCCGCCCCAGACAAAAAGTCTTAGGGGGCCGGCGGCAGCGGGCGACGCGTCGCCCTCGCCCCGAGGCGCCGTGCTGCAGACTCTTCGCTCGGATCGGAGGCGGCGCTCCCGCGAAGGGGGGCCGCGGCGCGTGCCAGCGCGCACGGGAGCGGCAGCGGCCGCGGGGCCGCGCGAGCACGGGCGAAATGCCGTCCTCCTCCTCCTCCTCCTCCTCCTCCCCCTCCTCCCCCGCCTCCTCCTCCTCCTCCTCCTCCTCCTCCTCCTCCTCCTCCTCAGACGCCGCGCGGTCTCTGTGAAAGTGGCAGTGCTGTTACGGCGCGGCCCCTGCACCGCCTTCGCCGAGCTCATCGGACGCGTTGCCGCTCCGGCCCTGCACGCCCCGCATAGGTTTCCATAGGCGGGACGCGCAAGAGCTCATTCCGTTCGCAAGGTGGGAACGCGTTCCAACTCCAAGGTCAAATGGTGTCGCAATTGGTTCGTGTGGTGTGGGAGGGTGGGACTAGGCGGAGCCCGCTGACTCGTTCAACATGGCTACATTGACCTCTCCCCCTAACCCCGCTCCCTGGGTCTGGACGGGCCTGGTCGCGAGGGGTTAGAGCGTCCAAGATGGCCCAAGATAGCCCAATATGGCCTGTAAGATCCCAAAGGATAGCCCAACACAGCTTGAAGCAACCCAAAGGCCCACCCCTGAGAGGCAAAACTCGTCCAACAACTATGGGAAATATGGCTTTTGCCTGCGCACCTTTTTAGTTATGGTGGGCTTCATGCCTAAATATGGCTCCAACATGGGCAAAGAGAGACCCACGACGGGCCCAAGAGGGCCCCAAGAGTGGCCCAAGGGGCGACTCGTTAGCATCCAACGAGGGCCTGACATGAGCACCGCCCTCTTTTTTACTGGATGGTCTCCAAGATGGCCTCAAGAGGGCCACCAAGGCCTCTTATGAACCCTCAAGTGGGGCCCAAGAGCCCCAAAGGCATCCAAAGTTGCTCAAGGAGGGCCCCAACGGCTTCCAAAATTACTCCACAAGGACCCCACGAAAATTCCAAGAGGCTCCCAGAGCGAACGACCCGCGAAGGCGTTGATGGATGACTCCTGTCGTGGTCGTCGACGGCGTCGTCTCCTTCTTCCTCCCCAATCCTGCCCATTTTCTTCTGCCTCCTCCCCCTCCCACCGCCTCCTCCCACCTTCTGCTCCTCCTCCTCCTCCTCCTCCTCATTATCATCATCATCAGCATCATCAGCATTATCATCATCATCATCATCATCATCATCATCATCATCAGCATCATCAGCATCATCAGCATCATCAGCATCATCATCATCGTCATCGTCATCGTCATCATCACTATCATCATCATCATCATCATCAGCATCATCATCATCATCATCATCATCATCATCATCATCATCATCATCATCATCGTCGTCGTCATCATCGTCATCATCGTCATCACCATCACCATCATCATCATCATCATCATCATCATCATCATCATCATCATCATCATCATCATCATCATCGTCATCAACATCCTCTTCCTCCCATCCTCCCTCCCTCCCTCTTCCTCCCCCTCTTCAATTTCGTCCTCAATCCTCCTTCCATGTCCAAAGGAAACGGCTGCCCCACTTGTGTTCCACTGCGTGCTGCTACACGTTCCTGATCAAGGAAACTCGCCGAGTGATTGTTGTTGTATGGGCTGCTGGGGATAATTACACCAAGCGTCAAGAATTTTGGGAGGAGGGTGTGGAGGCGAAGGACGAAAAGGATGACGATTAAGTCTGATGTGGAGATGTGGCAGAAAAGAGAAACTGACTGACGGGCAAGTGACGAGGATGCTGTGTGGCAAAGGGCACGACTTGGCCGAAGGCCATCCACTTACACACCGATGCCACCTGTGAATACGCGGCAGCCATGTGCGCAGGCACGTTGAACGACATGGTCACGAACTGGAGCGCACTCTTTTATACGCTGTGGCCAGTCGCTGGCGCGCAAGGCCGCAGAGCCTGGTTTGCACGAACGCACGCGATAATGGCATCCTAGTAGGGAGCCTTCCGGTGAGTCATCTTGAGCCCCCCCACATCACTCTGGCACCATGCGCCGCCACTCCGACATGAGGCGTGGCCCTCCTCGCCAAGAGCAACAACCAGATCCACACCCTGCAGCCAGCAGGCGGGCTCCCTTGGCCTGAGGACGTGGCCACCCTGGGCCTGCTGCTCCAAAACGATGGGGACGGAACTCACGACGGCTGCCGCGCAGTCCATCACAGACCCGTGCCCCGCTGCTGCCTGCGCTCGGACGCCGACGGTGCCCCCGACTTGCCGACCGGCCACACGTGCGGGAGCCGCGCCCCCGAGCCCCCCGGAGGGGGCCCGCCCTATCGGCGATCTCTCGAGAGGGACCGCCGAGGCCCGTGGGCCCCCTCCTCCCCAAGGGAGACACAGCGGGCGCATGCTACGACACCCAGACCCCCTCGAGCAATGAAAGAATCAGGACGAAAGGCGTTTCTGCACTTCCGGCCCCCGGGGGCCTTCACCGGGGCCTCGGGGGCGTCCAGAAACGACCCAGGATGCAAAGCCGGTCATGGGGAAAGGGTCGGGACCCCTTTGGGTTAAGTCGGGCCTGTCCCCCTACAGCGGGATTTTCGACGAAAAATAAAAATTATCCCAGTGCGGCCCTACCTAGGAGTTGGAGCCTCTAGGAAAGCAACATTACTAGGAGCGGTAAACGCCGTCCTCCTCCTTCTCCTCATCGTCGTAGTTGTAACAGTAGCGGTAGTAGTAGCATGGAACATACGTGCGCACACACACATATCTATATAGTACACACATATATATATACATATCGCAGCAGCAGCAGTAGTGGATGCTGTGTTGCGCTATGCTATGTTTTGCTATGCTATGATATGCTCTGCTCAGGGAAATACCCTCAAAATTGTCCAAAAATAGTCCAAAAATAGTCTGGGGACTATTTTTGGAATATTTTTGACCTTCTTGGTGTATTTTTGGGGTGTGTTTTATTTTTCGTCGAAAATCCCCCTGTAGGGGGACACGCCCGACATAACCTTTGGGGGTCGACGCAGTGAAAAAAATCAGTACGTCGGGGGTCTGGGCAAGAGAGGCCCCGCCGTGGCGAGCTCCCGGGGCGCCCTGCTGCCGGCAGGCTCGTGTCTCGGCCGGCGTGCCCACCGGGAGGTCCGCGGCCTCCCGCGGCCGCGCGGCCGAAACACGATCCCAGAGATCCAACGTATTGACAAAAATCAAGGCGGAGGTTTTTCGCTAATCTCGGCCCCTATAGGGTCCCTCGCTGGGCCTCGGCACCGTCAAAAAACGACCCAGGATGAGGAACCGGTCCTGGGGAACGGGTGGAGATTTCCAGGGACCGCGCATGGAAAACATCACGACATCGGATCTCTGGGATGGCCAAGATAGCTGCACTTGGAGAGCCCTGGGCCCCAGCTCTCTGGAGGGACAACAGCTCGTGTGAACGCCTGCGGGGCGAGCGCGCTCAGGAAACCGGGCCAGCCTCCCGGCAAGCTGGTTCAGAAGCGCTGGCCCAGATCTTCAGGAGAAAGCTTCTGAATAAGATGCTCGAACGTAGCCTGACCTTCCAGAGAGCTACTTTCTAGCACTGGAGCCTAAAAACCTAAGACACTAACCGCAACAGCCTAAAACCAAGGCGTAGAATAGCTCTGGGATAGGTCTGTAGGTCGGGTGCTATTTTTTTAGCCCTCCTGGAAGGTCAGGGTAGCTGGTCTGACCTGCTCCCCCTTGTCCACTTGGGAGTCCCAAAACGGTGCGGTGACTGACCGTGCGGTGACCTCGAAATCCCCCAAGACCTCACCGCACGGTCCGTCACCGCACGGTCTTGGGACCCTGGAGGCCCCTGTCGCCCGAGACACCCTCGGAGAAGGACTCGAGTCCCAAAACCGTGCGGTGACCCCGAATCCCCACCGACTCACCGCACGGTGTGGTCACCGCCCCGTTTGGGGGCCCCCGGTCCACTGTCCACATCCATAATTGGCATCGGGCCCGGGGGAGGGGAGAGGGGGGCAGGCCTCCGCCGAGGGCGGCGGGGCTGCTCGGAAACCCCCTCGCGCTCCCTGGGAGAGCCGACGGCGCCTTCGGAGAAGGCTCACGGGGCTCCGCAGAAGGCGCGAGGACTTCGGAGAAGAGGGGAACCAAAAAATGGCATAAGCACAAAAGCTCGGAGGTCCGCGCGGACTCCTCGGCTCGGCGCTGGACCCCCCTCCCTGGCGCGCGGAGCGCGCCAGGGGCGGCGCCGGAGGCGCCGCCGGGGGGCCCCAGCGCCGATCCGAGAAATCCGCGCGGACCTCCGAGTTTTTGTGTTTGTGTCACTTGTTGGTCCCTCAGAGAAGCCCCGCCGGCCCTCTGACAAGGCCTGCCCCCTCTCGGCCGCCGGGTGGCTTTCGGGTCCTAGCCCGGCGTTCTCTGGCGGCCGTGCGGGGCGATCCTGGGCGCCCCCAGACGCCCTCGGCGAGGCGCAGCTGCGGGAGCGCCTCCCGACGCTGGGCAAAAACAGCCGAAGACCAACGAACACGCCAGGTGAGCCCGAACGGCCCCGACCTCGACCCCAAAATCCCCCGGCGTCCCCCCCCCCCGAGCTCGCCGCCGACAAAAAGAGGCTGGTGAAAAATTGCACGCCTGCTGGCCGCCCTGCAGGCCGCCCTGCTGCAGACTCCGCGCCGCCTCCGCCATCTGCGAGCTCGCCATCGCGGCGGCGGCCTCGGGAGCCGCTCCTTTCTGTTGGGAGGGAGCGCATCGCGCGGCGCTCGTCGTGCAGACTGCTCGGTGCGCAGTGCGCCACGCGCGAAGGTCAGCCCGAGGCGTCGCACTTCGGCGACGGCACGCCTGCGCTGGTGGCATGGTGCTGCCTGGCGTAATGTTTTAACACGTGGCGAAACGAAGAGAAGTCCACCAAGCTTCACCGAGTCCGTTCGGCAGCTTGTGCTCGGCGAGGCCCCCAGGCCTTCCCCTAGACAATGGAACGGAACTTGCTGTCAATACCAGCCCGCCGCGCTCCGCAACTGATCGGGAGACTTTAGCGCATACAGACTGCACTGATGTTGTGCTCCTCTCCCGTTCCATTCCTCGGCCACCGCCCTCTGGGGGCCTTCCTGGGAGACTCCGAGAGCCGATTCTGCGAGAACCTCCCTTGCAAAAGCACCACTCTGGATCTCGATACCAGATTCGACTGATTCCTAAGCAAAAATGCCAGGAGGTGCGACATATGGCCATACTTTCTTGTGCTCCCAGTGATCTTGATGACGTGATTTCCCGACGGTGCTCCATCTAACGAATGGTTCCTGGAATGTCTGTGTCAGGCTACGCGTGTGCAACACAACTGGTGCGGAGAACCACATCTGTACTTCAACTTCAGTTCAACACTCCTGGTAGATGACAAAGGCCTCGCTTAACTACTTGGAACAAACGGCTAGGGTACGGAGGATCTCGACCGAGGTGAAGCACGGCACGCGAGGGACATACAGCCATACTCCCATACTGACACCTATCGGTTAGCCAACAATCTTCGCGATGGAGACCGATGTGTCCGTCCATCGACCAGGGCGGCCAGAACTGCCACGTGAAGTCCTTTGTGATGCGGGGCTCTGCTGGATCGATCCCGCGCTGGCTGGATCCGCACTCTCCAGCGGATGCGCTGCGACACGACTGCAGGCGTGGCCTGAGAGGCCTTCCGCTGCACGCCTGGCTGGCACGGTGACGTGGGGACGCTGGGGGGAGACCGGCCCAGGGGGTGATACATCGACGTGGGATCGGCGATACATCACCGATGGGAGGATGAGGAGGGGGACGAGGCGGGGGAGGAGGAGGAGGAGGAGGAGGAGGAGGAGGAGGAGGAGGAGAAGGAGGAGGAGGAGGAAGCGGAGGAGAAGGAAGAGGAGGAGGAAGAGGAGGAGAAGGAGGAGGAGTGGGAGGAGGAGAGGCCGGGGGATTGTGGAGTCGCTGTGGGTTCCAGACGAGTGTTTACGATGTTTCACGTTGCTCCTCATCATTACCCTTATATTTCCTTTCTCGCTTTCTCTCTCTCTCTCTCACTCTCCCCCTCTTTCTTTCTTTCTTTCTGTCTTTCTTTCTTTCTTTCTTTCTTCCACACACACACACCTGTATATGTATGCACCTCTTTCCTTACTTTATAATACTGTTATGCCAGCATCTTCACAACAAATGCCCCCCCCGAGCATGGTTCTCGAAACTCTAGCCCTGTGCCAAACGGCATGGGGCTGGAATTTCGAGGTCCATGCTCGGGGGGGCATTTTTGGGGGAGCTCTTCCGATTTTCTGAAGTTGTTTCCCTTTGTCAGCGTTGTCTTATGTTTATCTTCTCTTTCAGCCCTTCTCGTCCGAACTATCCCTTTCTGCTCGTGTATGTCTCCCTCTCTGTACGTTCTCTTTCGTTGCTGTTTGTTGCCCTCTCAGTTATCAAACTCTCTTCATCTCTCTCTCTCTCTCTGTCTCTCCCCCTCTCTGTCTTACCTGTGAGGAGAATGAGTGTGAGGAGGAGCATAGAGGAGGAAGCATTTTTTGGATGAGGACGGGGGAAGGAGGAGGAGGGGGAGGGAAGTAGGTGCAGGACGGTGCGGTAGCGCCATGTCATATTGCTTCGCATCGAGATCCATCGTGCAAGATATTTGGTTTCGGTATATTGCCCTCTCTTCGCTGCGAGGGCATCTATTATCGCTTTGCTTGCAGAAGCTGGCGAGAACTGCCACGATGAGAATCAGGAGGATGATTATGAGGAGGGAGGAGCAGTTTGGCCAGGAAGTTGCGGGAAGGAGTATAAGTCATGCTCGGACGGCGTGAGCGTGAAGACCAGTGGGGCGCATCGGGATCCATTTGCCAAGGTATCTTCAGAGAGCTCCAGGAGGAGAGAAGAAGGACGAGAGAAGGGACATGAGGATGATTTGGTGTCGGATGCTTCGCATTGTATGCGCATTGCGTCGCATTGCATTTGCATTGCATGTACATCGCGTTCGCATTGCGTTGAAGTGCTTTCGCACTGGATTTGCATTGCGGTCTGATTGCATTGCAATCGCATTGCGTTGCAATTCGATTTTAATAGCAATCCTTCTAAGAACCCTTCTTCGGGTGATTTCTATCGGAAACCATATATGGAGGGCTTCGCATGGAACCCCTCTGTTGAGGATTTCAATTTGAATCCTCATTGTGGGGGGGGGTTCAATCGGCATCCTTGCTGTGGGGGTGTTCAATAGGAATCCTTCTGTGAAGCGTTTGAATAGGATTCGCCAGCGCAATGTCAACGCAATGCCAACGCACTGCTAACGCACTGCCATCGCAACGCCAATGCGACGCCACACCGTTGTCAAACCAATGCCAATGCAATGCCGATGGTCGGATTCCTGCCTTCCAATAGATTTCACTAGGAATCCTTATGTGGATGATTTGGTTACGAATCCTTCTTCGGAGGATGTCGGTCGGAATCCTCCCGTAGAGGGTTTCGATTGGAATCTTTCTGTTGGGGGATTTCACTTTGAATCCTTCATGTGGGGGCTTTCAAACGGATCCCTTCTTGTGCAAAGTTTGCATACGAATCCCTCTGTGGGGGGAGCCGTTAGAACTCACCAGCGCAACGCCAACGCATTACCAACGCAATGCCAAACCAATGCCAAAGCGATCCCAATTCACTGCCAATGCAATACCAGTGGGGGAAATCGTGTGTGGTCGGGTTCAAGAAGAATCCTTCTATGGAATGCTTCGAATGTGATCCTTCCGTGAGGGAGTTTAATGCGAACCCTTCTTGTGGAATGCTTTCAATGGAATCCTTATTGTGGTGGGTTCAGCAGGAATCATTCTGCGAAGGGGGGCGCTGGAACTCGCCAGCGCAATGCCAGCGCAATGCCAACGCAGTGCCAACGCAATGCCACACCAATGCCAAAGCGATCCCAACCCAGTGCCAATGCACTGCCAATTAGGGGAATCCTTTGTGGTAGATTTCGGGAGAAATCCTTATATGGAGGGTTTCGCATGGACTCCTTCTGCGAGGGTGTCAATATGAACCCTTCTGTCGAATGGCAGTGGGGAAATCCTTTGCGGCAGATTGCAATATGAATCCTTCTGTGGAAGGTGTCGCATGGAATCCGTCTGCGGGGGGTGTCAATATGAACCGTGTTTTGTGGAGGGTTTCAATAGGAGTCCTTCTTGTAGAAGGTTTCGGTCGGAGTCCTTTTGTGGAGGGTTCCATTACGACTCGCCCGCGTAATGCTTGCGAAACGTAAGCGCACTAGCAACGCACTGCCAAGCGCAATGCCAACGCAATGCCAATGCGATGCCAAACCATTGCCAAACCAATGCCACTGCAATGCCAACGGGGGTTCTTTTTTTGCCGATGGCAGGATTCCTGTCTTCCAATAGATTTCACTAGGAATCCTTATGTGGATGATTTGGTTACGAATCCTTCTTCGGAGGATGTCGGTCGGAATCCTCCCGTAGAGGGTTTCGATTGGAATATTTCTGTTGGGGGGTTTCACTTTGGATCCTTCATGTGGGGGCTTTCAAACGGATCCCTTCTTGTGCAAAGTTTGCATACGAATCCCTCTGTGGAAGGAGCCATTAGAACTCGCCAGCGCAATGCCACCGCAATACCAACGCAATGCCAAACCAATGCCAAAGCGATCCCAATTCAATGCCAATGCAATGCCAATGGGGGAAATCGTTTGTGGTCGGGTTCAAGCAGAATCCTTCTATGGAGCGCTTCGAATGTAATACTTCCGTGAGGGAGTTTAATGCGAACCCTTCTTGCGGAATGCTTCAAACTGAATCGGTCTTGTGGGGGCTCAACAAAAATCATTATGCGAATGGAGGTGTTGGAGCTCGCCAGCGCAATGCCAGCGCAATGCTAACGCAGTGCCAACGCAATGCCACATCAATGCCAAAGCGATCCCAACCCAATGCCAATGCACTGCCAATGGGGGAAATCCTTTGTGGTATATTTCAATAGGACTCCTTCTGTGGAGGGTTTCGCATGGAATCCTTCTGCGGACGGTGTCAATGTGAAGAATATAAATCCTTCTGCGGGTGGTTTTAGTAGGAATCCACATGTGGAGGATGTCAGTAGGAATCATTCAGTGGAGGGTTTCGATAGGAATCCTTCTGTCGAGGATTTCACCAATGAATCCTTCTTGTGAGGGCGTTCAATAGGAATCCTTCTAGTGTGGAGGGCAGATGAGGCCACGTCGCATTCCTTTTTTCTCGCCGCCGACCCCCCCCCAAACAAAAAAAGAAAAACAAAAACAACAAAAATCCTTGAATCTCAAGTCCGATTTTTTTTTGGGGGGGGGGCACCAGGAGAAAAAAAACAGGCAGAGAGGGAGGAGGAGGAGGAGGAGGAGGCGGAGGAGGAGGCGGAGGCGGAGGAGGAGGAGGAGGAGGAGGCGGAGGAGGAGGCGGAGGAGGAGGAGGAGGAGGAGGAACCTGACGACAGAGAGCAGAGTTTGCACAGAAACAGTCGCGAACTCAGCGCGAAAGCCTCGCGCGCGCGCTTTTGAACCCCTGCGACTCCACAATCCCCCGTTCTCGAGGAGAAGGAGGAAAAGGATGAGGATGAGGATGAGGATGAGAGGAGGGAGGAGGAGGAGGAGGAGGAGAAGGAGGGGGAGGAGGCGGGAGGAGGAGGAGGGGGAGGAGGAGGAGGAGGAGGAGGAGGAGGAGGAGGAGGAAAAGGAGGAGGCTCGGCGCCAGGCCCCCGAT